TTTTATTTGCTGGAGGTTTATCTGGTTCCTCAGTTTAGTTTTATCATTTAAATTGATGCTACACTTAGATGTGCTCATTAGCTGTGAACTAAATGGTTCGATTCCCTGTCTGAGACGCCTGTGCTGCGGTCAGATCGGCTGAACCGTGTTTGTGGAGGTGACGCCTGCCGCCTCAGAGTCAAATGAAGTTTTCTAAATTGTCAGAAAAAGGTTGAAATGAGGCGAAGTCTGAAGCAGCGACTGGTTTTCAGTTTTGAGTTTGTTCTGCGTTCAGCTCCCTCTGCAGTGTTGTTGATAACAAGCACAAACCGCTGTTTGGGGATTTACTTGATGGATCGCTGTCTTCCTGCATCTTGTTATCTTCTTCTCGAGTTCATCCTCATTTCCATTCTTAAACCCAGACATTACCATACTGTCAGCCATCTTTCTTTCTGATGGATCGCCGGCCGCAGTTAGAACTGAGCGGACGTGAAGATCTGCCACAGTTTGGAAACTTCCTCAGATAATTAAAGGAAGATTTCGTTTTAATGAGCAAAATAAGAATTCATGTGTTTAATTAAAATCTAAAGCTACATGAGAGCCACAAGCATTCAGCGTGGACGACATGACAGCTCCCTAAAGTTGTATAATTTATATAATTAATATACAAAATGTATTTATATATCGCATTTTTGTGCCTAAAAAGAAAAAACAACGGTAACATGATTAACTAATATGACAACTATATATATATATATTACAACTATATTACAACTCATTAATATTAGTATCAAATTGTAAAAAAAAGTCAAAGATCAATTTTGATTTACATCAAACATTTTAACTAATAAGAAATTAGAGCTTTGTGAATCGTGACAAATTAATTTTAGATATCTGTGATTAGTCAAAATTATACTTTCCTTTTAAATAAAACAAGTCAAAAAGTAATTTATGATATTATGATGTTAACAACTGACTATTATTAATTCTGATTAAATGTTTCTTGCCATAATTTTCTTTTCACCAGTTCCTCTTCTTATTTTTCCTCAGCAGCTGCTTTGCTCTGTCTCTTCGCTCTGCACATTTCATAAAGTGTTTAAAAGCTTCATTGAGCTCCACACGTCTGCTGCAGCTGAACCGACGACCTCCTCACAATACTGATTCTAAACCGTCTCTGAAAACAGCTTTAAAATGTTCTCGTGATGATGAAATGTTCCTCCTGTCTTTCTGTAAAATGTTTTCGGCTCAGGAAAAAAAGAAAAACCCGAATGACACGATGCCGGCGGTGTTTGGTTAAAGTGGCACCTTCGCTCGCAGCGGCGTTCGGGAAACAAAGACAAGAAGCTGAGAGAGCTGCTTAAAAATGAGAGAAGAACTTTAACTGGGTTTGTTCTTCCTGTTTTCAAAGGACAAACAAATTTCACTGCCACCGACACCAAGAAAATCCATTCACCCTCTTATCGTACTTTCTAACAGACGCACATGAAAACACATTTCTACCTTCTTTACCTTTTTCATTTCTCGTTCCCGTGTCGAACTAAAAGCTTCTTAACCGTCGATTAAACATCTGAAAAGCTGTTTTTGGACAATTGTGAGTTGGAGTAAACATGTATTGTATCACAGGAAGACGCTGTGGTTTATAATGTTTTCCGAATAATAATAATATTACGTTCACGACACGTATGTGCGGTTAAACAGCAAATTCACTGCAGGCGATAGAAGTGAAACACAAATTTTATTCCCACAAATCAAACAGATAAAACTAATCAGGCAAAAACAAACGGATTTTTAATGCGACTGAAAAACACTAGATATGAAATAAGTGGAGTAGCATTGATTTATCAGTTGCCGAGCAACAAAGCTATGGAGGAAAATGTTTTTCGGTTGATTGAAAAATCTGAATCGATGTGTTTTTAACATGTGAACCTTCGGCTGTTCGCTTGAGTTCTAACTTTTAAAAATGAATTCTTCCGACGCTTTCACTTCGCTTTTTTCCGCCATTATCTGTTTGAAAAACGGTCTGCCACTGAGGCGCAATGAATCATGGGATATGTTGGGCCGGGAAGGATCCGACCGATGGAGCCTCTGTTGCTCGGGGGCTTGAAAGACACATTTTGTGTCTGTGTTGTCGCTCCGCTGCGACGTGATTGGTCTACAAATACAGCTCACAGATGCAGCTCCCGAATTGAGACACAGCGGAGGAGTTTGTCCATAAACAACGTGTAGTTTGTGATGATTGTTATTTATTTTTCAGATGTTTACGATGATTCACAATGAGACAATGTTTATGATGTTTATTTATTCAGTTAGTGAACAAACACACAAACACATGGAGTGACAGGTTTCATTCAACTGTGTTCAGAGGACAAAGTTCAAGAGAGCGGCCACTTCCTGTCCCACTGCATCGGAAATACCAGAGCCTCAGATTAGAGCTCACACACACACACACACACACACACACACACACACACACACACACACAAACGTACACACGTCACACAAAGTAAGCACAATAACGTACACACACCCGGACACACACGCAAGTGGCAGTGAATATGCAGCGGGTTGAAGTTTGTGAGAGTAAACACATCACATCTCAACACACACTGTATGTGACTCCTGCAGACACACACACACACACACACACACACACACACACACACAAAGCCTCCCATCCGCTGGGAGTATTGTTGGATTCTTCCTCCTCTGACGCCTGCGAGGCTCTTTCTCGGGAAGAGGAAACGCAGTCTTGTGTAACCTTCAGTCACAGTCCAGGCAGAGAGAGTCTTTTTGTTAGCGGAGCCAGAGGTCAGGCCCGCAGCTCGACTTTAATCCTAATTCCTGCAGTCGACAACTCGTCAGCTCAGGAGACTGAGCGAGGTCTCACCACCAACACATGAATAAATAAATAAGATCAGAACAGGCTGGAAAGCAAATGTTGTGGGTTTAAAGTTATTCAATGTTTCTCTGTTGCTGCAGAAACACAGATATTTATTTATTAAAGCTTCATTAAACAATTTTTTATGTCTCCAATGGATACTGAGGTGATTTTGAACCTTTGGAGTTTCTCTTCCGAGCGTTTTTAGTTTGTATTTCCCTTTTTACATTCAACTAAAAACCCACTAACATCTGGCTCTGGTCGGTTTTATGACCTACGCTGCAGCCACCAGGAAAAGATGGAGTCGCTTTGGCTTCACTCGTCAAACATGGTTGTTTTAATGAGGACGTAGAACGTGGGACACACCTGAACAGGTTTCGGATGTGGATGTGCATCTGTCACCATTTTGTTTCTGGAGCAGAAACCGTTATTCACAACTCTTCATGTTTCTGTTTATCACTTCGTGATGTGGAGCCTTTTAATATTCTGCTGCAGGTTGCGTCATCTCCTGTTGACTCGTTTCACTTTTAACTCGATTTGCCGCCAAATTCTGACATTTTTTTCTCTTTCTACTCGTCCTCTTCTTGATCTGTGACTCTTCTGTGGCCCGAGGAAGAAGACCTGCTGTTTACATGTTCCCACTTTCTTCTCCACCTGTGAATTAATGCAGCGAATCTCACAGACCACTCTCCTCCGAGGGAGTTCACATTTAAAAGCCCATAATCAAACACCTAACCCTTGAATGGAAGGTCATTAATGCTGATGGTGTACCTTGGCCTCATGAAACCTGAAGAACTACAGGCTGCCGGTGCATGACGAGGACTTTATCCCCCTCGAGCTGAGTCATGCCGTCCGGTGCGTCTTTCATTTCACCTGAAGTGGCAGTTTTTTTAAAGCCCCTCGCCACCACCAACAAACGGGGAAGAGAAGGTCAGGGTTTGGAAGCCATCACTCAAAAAGGAGAAAAGTTCATCCTGTTAATTTCCTCAGCCTCTGACTCCGAGATGCAAGAGTCCTGAGCGGATAAGAATATTGATTTGACCACGAACCTCACTTCAAGCTGAATGGACCTTGTGACTCTGAACATTTCCTCCTCCACCAAGGAGGTTTTAATTCTAGCCCTGACCGAGATTACATAAACACTCCAGGACAGATCAGGAGGAACTTGGTGGGAGGATGTGATGTGTGATACGGATCAGGAGAGGAACCATTGAGCTGAACTGAGAGAAACTATATCGCGAGAAGTCGTGGTTACGCTTGACAGACCGCTCATTGCGTTCGCCAACATTGACATGATTCAGTGCAGTTCTCTCCTCAATGACAGGTGTCGCTGCTGAGATTAATACAACCACACGACCAGAAAAAGGGAAAAGAAGAATCAGACAGAACAGTTTTGGCAACGGCTGGATTCCTCCGGGAGCATCCAGGACTTCTGCCTCGACAAACCAGTCACAACGATTCTTTCAGAGTTTCCAGCCTTCTGAGATTCTCCACTCCAGTGAGGTGTCGTAGAGATCGACCTGTTTGCAGCCTCGTGCTCTACCACCAGTGGAGATGATGTCCTGTGTGGAGGGTGCCGCTGTGCACGAGGACAGGAATGTCGAGCATAAACTGAGCTATAAGATGAAACAAACTGTGTTGTGCTGTGTTGCAGGAGGCCTGAGAGGAGGAGAACAATGATTTGTATCATGACTTTCACCCAGAACGTTCCCCCGAGCAACATGGAACTTGTGACTCTTTGAACACAGATCCTGTTCTATGAGGAAAAATCATTTCCAGGATGAAATCTGCCCCGTGGAAATCTGTGGTCACTTCTGTTCCTCGTGAGAAGCTCTGGGATCCATCATTTCCTCTCAGGGAGGCTCAGTGTTATTCAGCCCGTGTGGATCTTATCACATAAATATCACAGGCCGGTCGAGGACTTTTACAACGTCACAGAAACCGCTCAGTTATTTTATCCCGGTCCAGCTCGAGTGTCTGAAGTGTTTCCCTGGGGTTATTTTTAGGAGCGTGCAGCCCTCCCTCCCTGGCGCAGCTCAGATGGTGTGGTCGGGGCCAGAGGAAGGGGAGTGGCGGCTGGAAGGGGAAATTCTCAACAATGACTCCATTAACACGATGCTCAACATGAGCAGCACCACTGGACTCTACTGCTCCACCGTCACCCTGGATATCTGACGCTTCCTCGTGGATCTTTAAACATCTCAAACGTCACAACTGCAACATGGAAGTTTGTTAAAGTTTCCTCCGGGACAGATTCTTCAGAAACATGTTGATCACAAGTGAGTGCGTTGATCTCTGCTCTGTCGTGTTCTGATCCACAGAGAGATAATGAGAAGCTTTCTGACTCTGCCTCTTTTCGTTCTGATGACAAGTGACAACCTGCGCTTGATGACATTCATCTCAGAGATGATTGGTTAATTAGCTTAACGAGTTCTAATTGATGAGTTCCTGATTGAGGGTTGATTAGAAAGGATATGTTTTCTGGGCTCCATCAAGACGTCCTCTGGTGTTTCTCTGAACTGACCATAGAAAGCTTCACATTGTAAGATTCCAAGAGTCTTATATTTGTATGAATATGATTCAGCAGTTGAGATCAAAGTGAGAAACGTTTGCTCTCGATTCATTCGGAACAAAACAAGGAATTTGAATCGGTGCAGCGAGGACTGAGAGTTCTTTATAGTTTGAAGGCCGTGGGCCCGAAAACATCACGAGTGGATCTTGAATAAAAGCTCTTTTCTGTGGCAGGAAGCGTAGGTTTCACTCTGAATGTGTGTGGGCTACTTCTGAAATGTGATCAAATGGAGAGAATGAATCAGACGCTGTAGAAAACAGTACACGTCTGCATGTGTAGTAATACACACTTATATACTGTGTACTTAGTGACTCAAATGTTCATCAGTACACAGCAGAACAGTAGAGTTGAATTGAATATCTTTAAAGTTTGGTTGCAGTCAAACTTTGGAATATCATTACTGTAAAAAACTTTATTTTTTATCATAACTACTTGAATTAATTGATTTTGCACATTTTTGAAAACCTCCTCTGACACTCGACCTCGTTGAAGAGTAAAGTAAAGTCAGTACAGGGACTTTTCCCAGTTGAGACACCAAATGGAGAATTTCACACCTTAACTGCAATGCATTGTGGTCCATTTCCTGCTCATGCAGCCGTAGGGTCTCTGTGCTTCCTCTATTTCTTTTTTGTCCAGCGGAGGCTTTGCTAAAGAAAAACCTTCGCTCTCTGATTCTGACATTAAAACCTGACGTGTAAAGAGTTTGAGAGTTGAAACTTTGATGTTTGTTGTTTCACTTTATCTCAACTTTACCAGATATTTGTAGAAACAAGACAAACACAGTTTGATGTCTCATAAACAATAAGAATAAGAATAAAACTGTTCCTTGTTTGTTTCTCCTGAACTGTTAATGAGCTGTGTGACATCATACGTCCTGTCATCATCACCTACGTGGGCGTCGTCTACCTATACTTGACTCTGATTGGTTTGTAGACGGAGTCTCACGGGGGCGAGTCGTCTTTATGTTTGAATGGAGGACATGAATGTAGCGCTTCATCTGGTTGCCATGGTAACATCACGATGGTATTGCTCCCAGCATCAGCACCTTCAGGTTCAGTACTCCACAATACTACAGTACTCCACAGTACTAAAGTACTCCAAAGTACTACAGTACTCCAAACTAGTTCAAATTCACCAGATTTACGTCCTCGTGGTTCAAACATTATATCCTGAGAGGTGAAGACTGCAGCTGCTTCCTCTTCTTCTCCTTCTTCTTCCTCCTCTTCTTCTTCTTCTTCTTCTTCTTCTTCTTCTATGGTTTAATGTGTCTCTACTTCCTGTGATTGGTCCAACAAAGTGTTTTCACTGTGAACCAACAGAACCATGGTTCAGTTTGATCCAGACCCAGAACTCCTCTTCTGGTCCGAGGAACCGTTCACACCTGATGTTCAGCTTCAGTCTGAACTGAAGAGTCTGAAACAAACCAGGTGTGAGAACGAGAAAACCACCAGCGAGTATCTGGGATCAGTCTCCGCGGTTTAGCCGCTCTCTGCGTAATCACAGTCTAAAGGTAACTCAGCTGACTCTGACCAGAACAGGATCTTTCTTGTTTGAACAGTTTCTGGCAGGTAAAGTTCTCAGTATCCGTTGGCAGGTGATCTGAAAAGTTCATTTTGGAGACGGAACTCAACAGACAAGTAGATGAAAGTAAAATAAAGAAACTTCTCTCGGTGTGATTTAGTTTGACTTGGCCTGGTGACAGCTGGTTTTCTGCCCGGCAGCACATTCAGTATCTGGGCTGTGTCATATCTGTTTCTACTGCCGCTGCACTCGGCTCCACAGTAAGAGAGCTGATGAGTGTGTGTGTGTGTGTGTGCGTGTTCCTCTTGTGAACCATGTTCTGTGTGATAAACAGGAAACTCGAGCGTCTCTCACCTGTTTTACTGAATTAACACGTTCAGACGGATGTTTTGTTTCCATCGCTGCTGATCGGAGACACGTGACCTGCGAGTGACCGATGACAGAATCCTGCTGCTCGCTCGTCTGTCAGGGTCCAGTTAGGTCATGAGTCATTTCACCTTTTAATTTCAGTCATTTCACCATGTATGAGCTCAAACTGGACTTTTTGGATTATTTATATTTCCTCCACGAAGGAGGTTTTCATTCTGGTCTGTTTGTTTCAGAAGGATTACACAAAAACTACACAACAGATTTCCACGAAACTTTGTGGAACCGTGGGACATGAACCAAGACAGAACTTTTGGCACAAATCTGTCCAAAGGGGATCAGATCCAGGACTTTGTGTAATCTCTTTCTCTAACATTGCAAGAAAGAACTGGTTTCTCAGAGAAAACTCACAGATCTCAATGATATTTATGAGTTTGTGTGATTGACTGAATTTCAGATGCTGTTGGGCCTGAAATACTGCGGCTGCCATTTTAGTCTCTGTTTGACTTGGGTCTGGAGAAAGTCTGTGTTTGTCTTTGCAGAAGAAATAGCAGCAATTGTCTATTATGTTATAATTATCATGAACTTTTTCGTTCTTTCTCTTCGTGTCGATCCTGTTTTCACTTCATATTATTCTGTGGCTGTATCTGCGGTTTGTTGTCGTGGTTACGAGTCGAGCTGTCAGGAGGGTAATGTTTTTTTTTTTCCTCTGCACTTGTTCTGTTTCTTAATGTAATTACTTTTCCTCTTGAGTGACTAATAAAGGGTGGAGGTTCATTAAAGGTCACACCTGAATTTGCCTGAACACGGTCTCGTGCCCCGGCTTCTGTTGGACGATGAATTATTGGTTTCGATTAATTTTAAAGGAGAAGCGAGAGATTATCTGAGTTTTCATTTATTATTTGTATGAGTTTATTCAGTGAGATTATTAATGTAGAAGATTTCTATACGTTATGACGGGATATCATCAGAAACCTCTTAAACAACCCTGACAGCTCGTAATGGTTGTACAATCTTGAAATGCACAGTAGTGATAAAACTTAATTTGTGGCGTTTCTCAGGTGATTGTGAAGACGGGTGATGAGGGATGACACGTCACTGTCAGGACTTTAATTTCTCTTGTAGGATCCATCTCTGAGCTCTCGTAGACGGAGGGGAATTTATTTAACTCCCCCCCACACACTCAGCTTCACATCAGCTGTTCATCCCTCTGGCCCTCCCTGACCGCTGACGTCTTAACTCTCCCCTGACTGGACTGACGGAGGAGGACATTCAGAGAAACAGTGGAACAGGAGGAGGGAAACATCGCCCTGTGATCTGACAGCTCACATCCCTCTGATCTTCAACCACACCTCTGGCGTCCTGCGAGACGCTCGAGAGCATCGAGCAGAGCCGAGGCTGCACTTTATCCCCCATCAGCGACACAGGAGTTTAGTGAGGCGTGAACGTGGCGTGAAAGACTTCAGATATAAGTTAAATATTGGAAATTGTAGGAATGAGGCTTCTCAGAAATATGGCTGAGTGAGTTTGAGCGGCTTTGGCAGATTTGGTCAGATGGAGACGGTTATCAGGGCAGACGAGGCTGAGACTGTACACGGATAAAACATATCACGGTTAAAACATATCACACACATGATAAAACGTAATTCCAAACTCTTGAGGATATTTCCTGAAGTTTAACGTGAATTCAAGAGGAATAGAAAATGTCAACAGGGACATTAAATCTATGAGACATTTGTTTTGAAGTAATTTCACCTGATTGTCCTAAAGAATCTTTAATCGCTAAAGGATCCTAATTCCAGACGAGCAGTAATTCTCCAGCTCAGATCTTTGGAATCCAGACAAACACAAACACACAAACACACACACACAATGCTTGAGCGAGCACGTAACCTCACAATCCCCAGTTAGTCTCAGGCTCTGTCCAGGCTTCCTGCCGACATCAGGGTGGAGCAGCACAATCACGCATCCAAATCTCTTATCAGCGCCCAGAGGGGCCCAATCACAACTTCCTCAGCGACAAAGACGTCTGGAAAAGGGAAGAGGCCGCTGCGGTCGTGCTCGAACCGCGGAGCCGAGTCGATACCATCAGTTACGTAAACGCAGAGCCCCTGAATGTGGAGGTGGAAGTGAGCGAGCAAACATTCAGCTCGAGTGTCGGGTTCATTGTTGTTTCTGACAAGTGTCCAAAGTCCAACGTCCTCCAGCTTAGTTACTGTCACTGTCATAGGCTACGAGGTTACATCATCAGCAGACTGGAGGTTTATTATAGGTTATATATAGATTTAGATTCAATCCCCCGTTATAATCATAAATTGAAGATGAGTAGGATTACTGTTTAGGTAACGTGCTAGCTAACGTTAGCTCTGTTCTGCATTCGATTAGTCCCATAGCTGTGATCATAGTTTATAATATCGCCAGTCTCAAATGTCATTGCATGATGGGTCCTCGTTAATGTTCGTAGATTCAGTGTTTGGGAATTAGTGATAACTAGTGGTGACGTTGCAGATTGCGCCCGACTAACACTTCCCAGTAGAGCTGAGTAAATTTGGAATATTTGTCCTCCCTGAAACGTTGAACCTTCTCTCTGTCTCTCTCAGGTCGTTTCTTGTTTTCATAATCCAACGTCTGTTGGTTTGTGTTTTTGCAGCCACCATCTTCAATCGGCCGAAAATAGGCGAAACTAACTCACATTTATTTTTCCTGACCTTTCAGAAGTTTGCCTCAAATCGTCTTGACGGCTGGAAACGTGTGATGTTTCCTCTGATGCCTCGGGGGGGGGGGGGGGGGGGGGGGGCAGCGTGACACGAGGCAGATGAACCAGATACATAAACACTGAGATTCAGAGAATATAACAAACTTCAAACTGACAGAGGGGAAAGAAATAAAGAAAAAGATTTGAACAGTGAAATATCATCAAGTGTGAATATCCTGAGCCTTCAAATAACCTGCTGGTTAAACATCAGAATGCTGAGCCTGTGTTCCGGGCGTCACGTTGCAGATGTGACATTTGAGACAGAAAAGGGATCAAGTGTGCTTTCCGAGCGCCGGCCGCACTTGTCCGGGAGAGGTTCTGTAAATCCGGGGATACGTGGATCTCCCCGAGTTAAAGCCAGCGAGGCTTTTCCACCACTGACATCACAAACCTCCCGTTCTGCAACCTTGAGGGTCGGAGTTAAAAAGCTGTCGTCACTTAAACCAGTTTTCCACTTTAAATAAGTTTAATATCCTGCGGCTCCGAGCTCGGAGAAGAGGCTTCTGTTGAAAATGTTTGAGGTTAATGTCGTGAACTCCGCAGGGAAACAGAAGCATTATTATTAAAAGAATTATCTGGGGGGTCTGTGAGCAGAGCTGCATCACTTCAGGGCAGCTGTGGATAAAAACTGATTACAGCTGTGCTTTTTAAAAAGAGTTCAAACCAGAGGAGTCAAACAAAAAAGAAAGTAGGAATAAAAAGCTGTGAGCGGTTGTTTGCATCTTAAAGCTGCAGCATAGACGCAGACAAATAAAATGTCTCATCATCATCATGCAGAAATCTTTGAAGCCACAAACTGCATCTCCGCCGATCTCGCTGCATATTAAAGATCTGAGCCGAGACGCTCCGAGTGAAAATAACATGAATCAACGTGAAGTGTTTTCTCAGCTCAGCTCTGGAGACAATCTGAGTTTCAGACTTCAGATCTGATTCATCTCTAACGAGTGGGTTCAGAAGTTTTGTGTCTTGTTTCGACATTGAGAATAATTCACTCTCGACATTAAAGGACACTTTGAATTCACAATGTTCTCACTAAAGATGCTTCTGCTCCTATAAAACCCCAGTGAAACATTTCTCTCACTGCTCAGATTGGTTTAATGTTGGAGACCATTTTATGTTCTAGGTAGTTTTAAGTTGTAGAAAGAACAAATGTAATATAAACTTATATATACAAAGTTTGCAGACGACCTGATTTTTCTCTGGACAGAATAAATCTGAGGTTATTTCATTGCAGGACGTGTTGTTTGTCTCCATCAGCTCAGATCTGAACATTCAAAATGAATCCGTGTCTGTCGGCGTCACTAGTTTCCACAGCAACAACCTCAGAGAGCGAAGGAATGCAGAGCAGATGAAGGGGAGGGAAACATCTCTTCTCCCTCACTCTCAGCCAATTAGCACTAATTAAAATGGCCTCCTCCAAGAGGCTCAGATAATTAATAACCTGTTTGTGCCTCTGGTTTTTATTCCTCACTGTTTTTTTCCTGTGCTCGAATGCAAATGTAATTTAACTTCATAAACAGACGACTGATTAGGTGCAAATATTTGCCCTCTTAAAGCGGGCGGAGCATGAAATGATTGCGTTTGAATCTAACGCTGTTTTCCTTCTCGCTGTTTGCAGAGATTGAAGCCAAGGAGGCCTGTGATTGGCTGCGAGCAGCCGGCTTTCCTCAGTATGTGCAATTATTCAAAGGTAAATACAACGGTTAATGTAAACCTGCCGACGCCAACATGATGCAGATTCAATCCAAACAACGTCAGGCTGCGTCTTATTGTGTCATTTGTCTTGTTTGTGTGTCAGACTGCAGGGTCCCCGTCGACGTGGAGTGTGCGAAGCGTGATCACCGCTTCCTGGATCAGGACGCTCTGGACTCGCTCTGCAGGTAAACATGTGGTCAGATCGTTTGTGAATAGCTCAAAACATCACGGAGCAGAAAACCCAAACTGTAAAATCAAATGTTGAAATCAACGGTGTGGAGATATTTAACGAAACTGTCACCTAATCGAAGCTTAGTACGTTTGCTGCGTCCAGCCACCAGGGGGTGATCAAGAGCGTTTGGCTTCACTTTTGGGAGCCCTCGTTTCGACCATCTTTACTGTGACAGACTGAAAATCTTGTTCTAGCTCCCCCTGGTGGTTGAGGTTCTCATCATGATCATCTTAAGTGTAAATGTTGAAAATGTGGAAAAAAGTTTTCACCTGGAAACGTTGTAAAAGTTTCAGTTGATCCTGCATCACATTTTTAACAGAACTCTTGATTTGCACGTTAGCGTTGTTGCTTTAAATCCTCAACGATGAAGAGTCTGATAATAAATAATGTATGAACTGTGAGTTTCACTCTTGTTCTCCGTCATCATGTGACAGTCACCTCCTCTTCTTCCTCTTTCAGGAGATTAAGCACTTTAAACAAATGCGTGGAGATGAAGCTGGAGCCGCGGAGATCAAAACGCAGGGTGAGCGGGGGGGGGGGGGGTTTCAGCTGATTTTCTTTCTCTGATATCATCCTCATCCACGATAGAGAGAGTGAACGAGAGAGAGAGAGAGAGAGAGAGAGAGAGTGCAGCCCGCCGGCCCATTGAGGAAAGATGGCTACAGTCACTGCAAACGGAGTGCAGCAGGAGAATGGATTCAGCACCACGAACAGCGCCGGCAGGATGAACGGGCTCACCATCGGCCAGAACACTATTCCAATGAAGGACCACG